GAAAAATAAAATTGTAAATATATAAATAAATATATTAAATATTTATTAAGTTTGGGATCAAAATAACAAATTATATGAGAGATAGAAAACTTCCATAAACCTTCCAACAAATTTACCAAATGAGCAAAGTAGAGCGATATAATAAATCATATAATTTCTATGTTTTGATGCCCTTCATGTTAAAGAAGGATTAGAATGATTCTTGAAGCGACCTAAACTACTGATTTAGACAACTCCAGAATGAATGTAAAATCCCGCTGACCATTACTGGAAAGAAGTTCTGGATAGACGAAGAAGACGGCATTTGTATTGTAAGGTGATGTAGGTAAGCAAAAGCATAAATTAGTAATCACAAAATCAATTCCTTTATTCTTTTTCTTATTTAAGTAGCCTAAATCCCTAAAAAAAAATGCCACTTGACTACTATGGAACTCAAGGTAGATAAAGAATAAGATTGTATTTAAAAATGTACAAATTAAAAACATGAAAATTGGTATGTTTAATAATTCAGATTTTACAAGAATATATAAAAAATAATTATATTATAATTTTTTTAAATAAATTTCTATAATTTTCATATTACTTATAAATTATTATAAAAATAAAATCAAATTACAATATAACTAAAAAATTTCACAAATTTTTATAATTCATATGTAAATTAATTTTATTTTATATAATTTGTATCTACTTTAAAAATAATTACTTATTAAATCATATCTCAAATTTAATTTATATATACTTTTATTAAAATTTTAAATAAAAATATTTTATTCATTCATAATTTATCCTATTATTTAGTTTTTTAATAAATTAAATTAATATAATTTTTTATTATTTCTTACTTTTTTTAATCCAAATATTTTTTTTTCAATCTCGTTTAATGGAAACAAAAACTATAATGTCTTCCATCATCATCCATTGAGATGCGTCAGTGACTATTCCATGAATCTATTTTTTGATAAAAAATGTTAGTTTTATTGTCATCCCACTCAGAGCAGTCCTTCCCTTGATTGTTATTATAAAATAATTTCACAGTTCAACGGTACCACAAAAAATGAAAAAGTAAGAGACTAGTGCCACAGTGTTCAGCACGAGTGAGTTGGAAAGTAAAAACAATTTTTATGAGAATTATTCAAATATTTTTTTTATAAAAAGTATGTATTTTAATTGAGTTTCTATTACAATTTTTTTTAAATATCTAAAGGTGCTTTAGAAGGCTTTTTTTCATAAATAATACTGTTTTCAAAAATATTTTCCAAAATAGCACCTCTGCAACTTTATTTACATAACTATGATCATGTTCTTGTTCACGTAATAAAATAATATTATTTTGCGCAATCTGTTTATTGTTCACGTATTAAAATAATATTATTTCGCGCAATGAACTCTCGCTCAGCGAAGAAACCCTTAGCTTGAGCGAGGAAATCCGTAGAACGCATGATTATCTCCGAGTCAACTATCGCTCAAGCGACAGATATTTCGCTTGAGCGATAAGTGATTAAAATATGTGGTGACCCAAGTTGCGTTATGTGGCTAACTGCGTTGGACGTTTAGCCAAATAATGCAACTTGGGTTTAGATAGCGGTTCTAGAATTAACCGCTATTAAAAATATATTTTAGATAGCGGTTAACCTGGAACCGCTATTATATGTTACTTCTAAGAGCGATTATAACGTGAAATAATCGATCATAATTTTAAAATAATCCACATATAATAGCGGTTCCAAGTTAACAGCTATGTAAAATATACTTTTAATAGCGGTCAATTCTACAACCGCTATCTAAAATCTCGGGTAAATTCTAGCTCAAGCGACGGTAATTTCGCTTGAGCGAGAAGTGATTGAAATATGTGGTGACCCAGGTTGCATTATGTGGCTAACTGCGTTGGACGTTTAGCTATGGTCAATTCTCGCTTGAGCGAAGTTCATCGCTTGAGCGAGAAAACCTGCGAGGTGAACCAGGTTGCATTATATGATGTTCGTTGAAAGGGGAGTTTGTTCTGTTTATGAAATTATCTTGTGTACTGTATTGTTTTACCTGGAGTTGATCGTAATTGATTCATTGAAGGTGAATATGGGGATGATAGCATGTAAAGAGAATTTAAAATTTCTTGATCGATGGTTGGTTGGTTACTCGGGGTTAAAGTGTTTGAGGTTGTGGGGCTGTCAAGCATCAATTCTGTGGAGTGGCTTAGAATGATCAAAGAAGTGTTTTTACAGTATTTTAATCGATACAAAACCCTGTAGAACCCATTATGACCGATCAGATTTGAAATATGAGCGATCATAACTTATTTCAATCGATTAAAACACGTTTCAATCGATTAAAATCACTTAAAGGGTCAGAATGATCGATCAGAATGCAGTTATGACCGATCAGAGTTGGTTATGACCGATCAGATCTGTTTCAATCGATTAAAACAACTTGGAAAAATTTGGTACAAAGTTTTAATCGATTAAAACTTCTTTTTATCAGCTAAAATAACTTGGAAAGTTTTATAAGAAAGTTTTGCAGTATATCAATCGATTAAAACAAGAAACAATCGATTAAAATTTCTTGATTGATGGTTGGTCATTCTTGTTATATTGAGTTGTATGACTGATATATGCATCAATAGTTAGCAAAAAGTTCCTTAAATAACCTTTGATTTCATCAAACTCAAAAGATCTTCGTTTTATCAAATGATTCAATAAGATCTTCATCACTTTCAATTAATTGAAAAACTCCTAAGTTTCATACATTGAGACATTTCTTAACTAACACAATCTAATGATGCGAAGTAGATGCACATGCATCATTAGGACATGTTCTTCTGCTATGACCAGGGGTATGACAATATGAACATTTTTTAATCATACTTTGATGTTCTGTAATGTCCATCTCAGTTCTTATACGACTTGATTTTGGTCGGCCCTTTGAAGTTCTTTTCATTTCTGGATTTGCACACAAAGTAGGTCCTGTGTATGTTGGCCAATATTCTTTATTTCGCAATAACCCAAATTGTGTTTCGTATACCTTTGAAACTTGTTGTAAGGTATACACTGAATTAATATAGTTGTTGAAGTCATGGTGTGCATGCTTGCATGCAGCAAGAACATGTGAACAAGGCATGTGAAATTTTTGGAATTTCCCACAGTCACACCATAACTCATCAAGGTGAACTGCAAACTTCCCTGCTGGTCGAACTTCACGCGGGTTTTGTGTTTCTTGTACTACAAATTTTGTGGTAGACCTGTCAAACATTATGACCCTGTGCGTGTTTGTCTGTGTTTGTGCTTCCTCTAAATTTTTGACCAAAATTTCAGAGTATACATGACCAGCATTGATCATGGCATCTATCTGCCTCCCTCTTTCAATGAAAAATTTGTTGCAACGGGTGTACGTTGCGGTGAATTGACCATAGCTAAACGTCCAACGCAGTTAGCCACATAATGCAACTTGGGTCACCACATATTTCAATCACTTATCGCTCAAGCGAAAGTACCCGTCGCTTGAGCGAGACAGAACCCGAGAGTCCCCCTTGTTTGAAGGCTTCATCGCTCAAGCGATGACTTTGTCGCTTGAGCGAGTTTTGACCGAATGATGAAACGTCAAACGCAGGTAGCCAAATAATATAACTTGGTTCACCACATATTATAATCACTTGTCGCTCAAGCGTTCATAACGTCGCTTGAGCGAGACAGAACCCGAGAATCACCCATTTTTCCAGGTGTCCTCGCTCAAGCGATGTGTTTTTCGCTTGAGTGACCTTAGATAGCGGTTCTAAACTAATCGCTATTAAAAGTATATTTTACATAGCGGTTAACGTGGAACCGCTATTATATGTCAATTATTTTAAAAACTATGATCGATTATTTCACGTTATAATCGATTATCAATTTATTCGCTCAAGCGATGAGTGTCTCGCTTGAGCGAGAGTTGCCCACGGTCCAACTATATGTCTCACTTTTAAGAGCGGTTAATATTTTAACCGCTCTTAAAAGTGAACATATAATAGTGGTTCCACGTTAACCGCTATCTAAAATATATTTTTAATTGCGGTTAGTTCTAGAACCGCTATCTAAAGTCTCGGGTCAACTCTCGCTCAAGCGACGGATATTTGGCTTGAGCAATAAGTGATTGAAATATGTGGTGACCCAAGTTGCATTATTTGGCTAAACGTCCAACGCAGTTAGCCACATAATGCAACTTGGGTCACCACATATTTTAATCACTTATCGCTCAAGCGAAATATCTGTCGCTTGAGCGATAGTTGACCGGAGATAACTGCGTTCTTACGGATTTCCTCGTTCAAGCGAAAGGTTTCTTCGCTTGAGCGAGAGTTCATTGCGCGAAATAATATTATTTTAATACGTGAACGATGAATGATTGCGCAAAATAATATTATTTTATTACGTGAACGATGAACGATCTTAGTTGTGTAAATAAAGTTGCAGAGGTGCTTATTTTGGAAAATATTTTTGAAAACAATATTATTTATGAAAAAAAGCCGCTTTAGAAAGATCGGGAATAACTATTTATGAAACATTAAAAAAAAAAAAAAGACAAAATTTGTTATTTTGAAGGTTTGGTTTTAAAATTTCACTAAATATGTATCTTTGTGTTTTTAACAACTCACCACTTATTTTTAACGTTTTTTATTTAAGTAAATATCTAAAAAGATTATAATAAGTATTTGTTACGTCAGAAGAAGTATTAATTTTCTAAAAAAATGTATTTTTAATAAAAAAATATTAACAAAATAAAAAATATATTATAATTAATTTCTAGTTCCAACTCAGTGTTGCTACTTCAAAAGTGTAGGCAAAATACTCTAGGGTTTAAAGGCCAACCCCGTTTTATTTTCTATTCCAAATTCAAAAATAAAAAATCAACCAAAATTAAGAGCGGGAGGCAGATTCTGCTGCAGCCATATTTGGTTCCGCTGTCTTCTTCTGCTTCACACTCGTTGCCACGAAACTCTAGCGCGAAAGGATCTTGCTCTGAGCTCTGAGAAAATGTCTATAGGAGTACGTTGCCTAACCGTGTTGGGCGAGTTCAAGCCGTTTGGCCTCATTGCCGAAGCTCTCGACGGCAAACCTCCTGACACTGTCACTGACAAGTATGGTTACTTCCTCTTTGATCCAGAAATTGCGCGAGACAGAGATGCCGAAGATGATTTCGACGACGTTTCTTTGGCACCGAGCAATCGTGGCGATCACGAGCTTTTCATTCGCGGCAATAGGTAACTTATCACAAAGCCCGTCTTTCTCTGCTTAGTTGCTTCCGAAATTGCGGAAATGAAGTAAAAGGAATAAGAAAAAAACGAATTTTGATCTTAACCTTTATTTTGAAGTGTTTTTTTTTTTTGCTGCTGTGCCTTTGCTCCTCGTTGTTATTACTTAGCTGAAGCTACACGTTTGGTGCATTGCATTGGATTGCTTTATCTAATGTGCTTGCTCTTTTGTGGTAGGATTATATGGTCAACGGGTGCGAGAGTGTTTAAGAGATTTACCTTGCCATCTGATATCGTTAAGGTATGAGTTTTCCGTGCGTTGAATTTGAAACGAGACTGTTTAACCCCCATTTATAACCCATGTACTAATAAATATTGTTCAGTGAACTGAACATTGTTGATGGAGGAATATTATGGCTTTGTGTGGATTTAGGGTGTCTATTTTTTTTTTTTTGGAATTTTAATTTGTAATTTTTCATGTATTGTCCAAGTCCTGCATAGGAGTCAAGATCAAAATATAAGGACAAAATCATGATAATCGAGCTCCAAGCTGACAATAACTTGAATGCAGTAATTGATGCTTTAATACTATTTTAGTGCCCTTGACGTTGGAACAGTAATTTTAATTCTGAGTGAAACCAAAGGTAATGGTTTTATTCTGTAGAGAAATCGTTCTCTATTGTTTCAATTAGAATTTTTTTAAGGCGGGTTTAATTTTCGTAATGTTTTACTTTAATAGTTTAATCTGAAGGGGAAACAGAATTTCTGCCTTTGCTGCCAGTGTTTAGAGGACACTTGAATTGCACATAGTATAGGACGAGATCCAGTGGATATATAGCAGCAGATAGGGAAATGAACTTTTAAAAGATGAAAGTGTAAATAATCTTCAAGTACTAGCTAGAGCTTTCAGACTGTAACAGTTAATTCAGGAAAATTGGGTGACAAGGATTAGAGTTGTATCAGCAGTCTTCAATTCATAAAGGAGTTTAATTTTCGTGAATAAGAAAAGAGGGTGAGTATATTTAAGGACTGTAAGAAAGAAAAATGCTACATGGCTTTGAATAGTACCACATGCGGTGTATAGAAAGAAGAACACTGGCCTCACAAGCCTAAGTTCAATTATTCAAACTTTCATTTCTTTGTGAGAAGTTTAACATTAAACTCTTCTAATTCTGCTAGTACATTGAGATCTTACATAGGAAAAAGAGTGACATCAATCTCATTCACATTTCTATACATACATGAACCCGGTATGTTTTAAGACCACTTTAACAAACAAACAAATGGAAAGCATTAAGTCACATTTTCAACTACGCAACTGTTGGATTGGAATCCTTATACTCATGCAGCACAATTTTATTTTATTCAAAAATCTTCTTGACCTTACAAGTTTGCAACTTAAAAAAAGCTTTTTCATGGTACGTGTTTTGTGTTGCTCTTATTCATAAATAGTTCCATTCCATATTATTTATTGCATGATAGTAATGTTTGAAGTAGGCTTCTTGGTGAATCTTGGGTGTGTGCTAAAGTATTTATTTTTTACTACTTTTATAGATTTTGGCAGGACCTAGGAAGAGCTCTGTAATGTACTGATAAGACCCCTAAGCTTAAGGTGAATGCTAGGAGATAAAAGAGTGGTATCACACTTGATCAGAATAAGGAGAGAGAATTGGGGCCGCCTAGGTAACTGCTGACTTGGCATTACTGGCATGGGGTGTGCACAAGCTGTTAGAGAGAGAGAAAGTATAAAGAGGAGATTGTAGGGAGAGGGGGGGCTGGCTGGAATTGTATAGAACTTTGGAGAGAATTGGGCACTCTAACTGTATTCCAAGTTCTGAATCTCATTGATTCTGGCTGGAACATCTGCTATTAATACACTTGAAGTTGTTGTTCTATCACATTTTCCTGATTCTTATCATGTACATGATTTATGCTGTCCTTTGAATCCTACCATTCGGTGAAATGTTTGGATTTTAAGTAAATATTTGGCCATAATTTTTTTGCTGGCCAGGATGGTTTTATATTTTCACTATGGTGTTCAAAGGTTTCTTTTGTGGAATTTATTTGATAGGCATTGATACAGCTGCTGCTGTGACTCTGAGGCATTGTTGACCTTATTCTGTTTAAATTTACATCTTGGTTTAAGGAGGTTGTTTTATCTTCTTCCATTTTAGCCCTTCTTTCCTCATAATAAAGTCTCCCTTCAAAACATTGTTTCTTGACATGGCTTTGGGTTTTCAAAGACTAAGGAGGTTGAAATTTATCCAATGAGCCAATGGCTGCAACATTGTACATGCAATGACCGAGTGCAACAATGGAGGATTAAGTCTCAAATTTTATTTTTTCTTTTCCCTTGTAGTGAATGTAAAGCTTTTCCATTTACCGAACAGTTATGAGTTAGCTAATTATTTTCAAATTTTAGGTGTGCTGGTGTCGTCTCAGTCATACAGCTGAAGCTCTTCTATGTATATTACAAAATGATCGTTTGACTATCTATAATACTTCTGGTGAGTGTAATAAATGAAGTTCAACTGTCGTGTGATACAAAAGGAGAAAAAAACACTTATGCATTGGAGTGATACTAGTTTATGGCTTTGTTGTTAAAAACATAATTTTACTAAGCCTTTATATTTTGGTCCTTGCCAGTTGTCAAAGTTATATCAGAGTCAGATGTTTGTTGAGCTGGCTATGTTTAGTAGGCAGTAATAAGATGTCATCTCAGTGAACAAATATTAGCCAGTAATGTCTATTATGTATAAGATTGTCGCTATTTCAAGTTTTTAATTTTTGTTTTTGGTGATATAGTGACTGAAAATTCTTTATCTTTAATAGGTGAAGTGGTATCACTTCCACTTCCTCGTACAATTACATCCATATGGCCTCTTCCTTTTGGTTTACTACTCCAGCAAGAAGTTGAAGCAAATATGCAGTCACGAGTTCCTTTTTCATCTACAAGTCCTTTGCTCAGTACACGTGATATGCTGCTTAGTGCATCTAATCATATCCAAAAGGGGGAGGGTACTTCAGTTTCCTCTCATCTCATTTTGTTGGATCCACTGGATGAACACCGAGTATGTTATAAAAATCTGCAGATTATTGCTTAGACTTCTTCCTTCTAGGTTTTATCCTGTGTTGTAATGTACTTGTTTAAATTCTTGTTCTGGTATTACTTATTTTACTACTGACATTGTTTTACTATCATAGCCAACTTTTATTGAAGAAAGAGGGAAATTGAACATGATGAAGGAATACGATGAAAAGACAATATGGACAAGTGATCAAGTCCCACTTATGGCATCCTATAATAAAGGTTTCTTTCATTTAAGTTCTTACAACCACTTCCTGGTTTCCTTCTGAATAATAGCTAGTCATCTTGGTAATTTTTGTGATGTTGTTACTCTGAATTCAGGAAAGATGCAACACTCTTTGTGGGTTGCAGAAATTGTCAATTCTACTATTGACGAGGAGTCGACGAGTAGTTTATTACCTGTAGATCCCATGAGTGTATTGCCAAAGCATTTGTCCTTCCGTAAAATATGGCACGGAAAAGGTGCTCAAATAGCTGCTTGTAAGGTGTGATATAATAATTATCTGGCTATTCATCATTTATGGATTTAATTCGGCATCTTTTGGTTTTAAAATGGGAAATGTAATTCATCAGTTATGTTTTTCAAGTATTAATATATGCAAGTGTATATAGATGTTCTATTAACAAATGACTAATTAAATTAAAAGTTTGTTAATTTAAAGTTTTATCAGTTGAACATATTTAGTATATTACAAATAATTAATCAAATGTTTAATATTTTATTTATTTTTCCTCTGATTATAGAAGCAGACCACCTTGTTGTGGTGGTGCTTCTTGGCCTTCATTCTATCTATACAATATTGTGGTACTCTTTCCCTTTCCCCTTTTTATTCTTTCTCACTTGGTTAGCCATCTGACTTCTCTTTCTTGAATTCATGCCTTCTTGCTTTGCACATTCTTAACATATTTTTGTAAATATTTAGTTTTTTAGTAAGATCCTAGTTCTATGACTTAGTTCCTTTTAGGGCTTGTTGGATTTCTCACTTTCTTTGGAAAAATCACTCCACCCCTCAAAAAAACTTTCATAGTAATATGTAATGTTATTATTGGCAGATGGTGGCAAGCCAAAAATATGCTGTTGATAGTAAAATATTAAATGTACTGTTAGAAGTAGTTAGAAGTTATTAAGAGATTGAATGTATTATTAGAAGTGGTTAAAATTATTAGAAATTATTAAGAAGATTCTAGGGATCCCCTTGAGGGTTAGGATTCTCTATATATAGATGCTGAAGTACTGTTTCAGATCAACTAAATAGAAAAAAACATCTTCTTTCATTCAAATTATTTCTTTTCAAGTTGCTATCAGAGCCCCTGATCTTAGGGTTTTTGCTTCCACATTTCTTCTTTGCTGTTTTAGACACGGTTCTTCTTAGGGTTGCCTGAAGTGCACCAATTTCCTTTGATTATAGGGTTAACTTGAAGTGCATCCAACTCATGTTTCTATCACTGTTGCTACCACCATCAGAGTCGTTGTCGGAGCAATCGTCAGAGCAATTGCTAGAGTCGCCGCTGGCACAGTAACCGGAGCTGGAATTTTCATCCTTGTCAGAGTTGTCCTCGGAGCTGTTGTGACCACTATACACCTTTCTATGCAACACCGCTAAACACCTTTCTTTGCAACACCAGAGTTTCCTCTCTGCCATTGATGCAATTAAAGTCCTTACATCAATTCAAGATGCATTGAAGGATGAGAATGGGGTTTAAGTCATGAATCAATTCAAGATGCATTGAAGGATGAGAATGGGGTTTAAGTCATGAATGAAGAGATGAATGCCTTAGAAAAGAACCATACATGGGAAATTACTGACAAATCACTAAATAAAAGGGTAGTAGGATGCATATGGGTTTATAATGTAAAGTATAAATCTGATGGCACATTAGATCGTTACGAAGCAAGGTTAGTCGTTAAAGGATACACTCAGACTAATGGTGTTGATTATGAGGAGACATTTGCTCCAGTTGTAAAGATGAATACTGTTAGAATCATGTTAGAATCACCCTCTCAAGCAGCTTATTTTGGTTGGGAATTGCCACAATTTGATGTGAAAAATGCTTGCTTGCATGGACATTTAGAAGAAGTTTACATGGAAATTCCTCCAGGTTTTAGGTCTATTGGAGAAGGGAAAAAATGAACAGGTTGAAGAAAATCTTATATGGACTCAAGCAGTCACCCCGTGCTTGGTTTAGTAGACTCACTCATATTATGATCTCCATAGGGTATTGACAAAGACAAGGTGACCTTACCCTGTTCATCAAGCATTCCCCAAAAGGTAAACTTACTCTATTCTTGGTCTATGTTGATGATATGATTGTTGCAGAAAATGATCAAAATGAAAAACAAATCTTGAAAGAAAAGCTTGTTGCTCAGTTTGAGATGAAGGATTTAGGAAAATTAAAATACTTTCTTGGGATTGAAGTAGCTTACTCAAAGAAAGACATTTTTACATCCCAAAGAAAGAATGTTCTTGATCTTCTCAATAAAACAAGTAAAATTGGTTGCAAGACCACTAGAGTTCCTATAGAACAAAACCATAGAATTGGAAGTGATGAAGACAATTCTATTGTGAACAAGGGTCAATATCAAAGACTTGTGGGGAAGCTAATTTACTTAACCCACACTAGACCTGACATAGCCTATGCTGTGAGTGTGGTTAGTCAGTTCATGCATGATCCATGGGAGAGACATTTACAAGCGGTGAACAAAATCCTTCAATACTTGAAGACAAGTCCAGGAAGGGGATTATTTTTCAAGAGAAATTAAAGGTGAAAATGGAAGTTTATACTGATGTAAATTATGCAGGGTCTGTCACAAATAGGAAATTCACCTTAGGATATTGCATGTTCTTTTGTGGAAATTTGGTGTCTTAGAGAAATAAGAAACAAAATGTTGTTGCAAGGTCTACTAGAGAGGTTGAATTCCGAGCTATGACTCATGGGGCGTGTGAATTATTATGGTTGAGAATTATTCTAAATGATCTTAAAGTGTCATGTGAAGAATCTATGACTTTATATTGTGATAACAAATCAACTATTAACATTGCTCACAATCCAATCCAATCCAATCCAACATGATAGGACCAAACATATAAAGATAGATCGACACTTTATTAAAGAAGAAATGGATAGTGGTCTTATAACTGCTTCTTATGTCCCATTTGGGCTTCAGTTAGCAAGTCTCTTAACAAAATGTCTTCCCACTAAATGATTTTATGATCCCACATGCAAGCTGGGAATGATTGATATCCATTCACCAGCTTGAGGAAGAGTGTTGATAGTAAGATATTAAATGTACTATTAGAAGTGGTTAGAAGTTATTAGGAGATTAAATGTATTATTAGAAGTGGTTAAAAGTTGTTAGAAATTATTAAGAATATTCTAGAGATCTCCTTGAGGGTTAGGATTCTTTATATATAGATGCTGATGTACGGTTAGAGATCAACTAAATAGAAAAAAAAAACATCTTTTTTCATTCAAATTAATTCTTTTCAAGTATGCCATAAAAGTTTTGCAAATGGAACTGCACCTATGGTGTAAACATGGTGACTATAATAAAAAATGTTATATTCTCACAAAGCATACTAGAAAAGCGCAAAATATTTTAAATAAAATAGAACAATGAAATATATCAAGAACAAACTAGACATATTTTGAAAACTATAATTCACCAGAAGTACAAATTATGTGTTTTCACCAACTTAAGAGATAACATTGTAATGCTCAAAGCAAAATTCAGAGATAACAAAACTCGCTAGAGGTGAATAGAGAGACTCAAAACAGAGGAATTGTAACAGAGATTCAGACAAAGAAAGAATATAGATAACAGAAAAGTAAATGGAGGTGAAAATAATAGAGCAACAAAGAAACATGGAAGTAAACAAAAAAACAAAGACTCATGAATAGAGAGGTTACTTGATATAATCAAGTTAGTCGATTGCTATAGATGGGCTGCTTTTCTGAGGTGGAGGTGGGTGGTTTGACTTTGTTGGTGGTGGCCTTCTCTACCAAAGATGGCAAGATATTTTGTTGGAATCCACTTTTCCTTTGTTCCATAATCACCATTATTTAATGTTTTAACAACCTTGGAAAGATTTTTATTGTAATATATTTTGAACATAAAAGAATCTAACTGGCCAATCCAAAAAAATTGTTAATGATGTTTTGTATAACTATATTATCTAATATGTATCATTGTTTTTTTGTTTGAAGAATTATTTTATTCATTGGAGTTCCTGACTTTAGTTTAGAATGATGGTGTATATTCCATATAGATTATAGTGTATCTACTATAGACATGGTCCCAGATAGCTATATGATAGCTGTTGGTTACTTACAACAGATATCAGTTAGCAACTACTGGTTTTTTGTATCTTTATACACTGTAAATACATATCTTGTAATCAAAATTGTTTGATGGAATGAAATACGGTTTAGATCATAATCTAAATCTCTCCAAATTCTTTTTGATTTTGCATAGAACAGTGAAATTACAAGTCAATTTGGATGGATTGATTGCATTCTCCTTTTCTCTTATTTAGTTTATATATTTCAGCTTTATTTCTTTTCTTTTGTTTTGACTGTTTCTTCAAATGACTAGTAGGTCTTCATGGCCACTGATGATGATGCAACTCCTGTTGTCTGCTTTTTTCACCAAGAACAAAGAAAGTTGTTATCTGTTAGCCTTCAGATTGTTGAAATAAATAACGACATTGTGTTTGATATTAAACCTGATATGGGATGGAACATACATGCCATTGCTGCATCACCTGTGACGGTAACCCGCCCTAGGTACATATCCTATCTATTTCTACTGTTTATTTTATAATGATGGGCATGATTTTCTATGTTTTCTTCAAATCTGAGTTTTCCAGGGTCAAAGTAGGACTGCTTCCATATTCAGACATAATGGTTTTGGCTCCTGAAAATGTTCTGCTTCTCTATGTAAGCCTTACACTTCATAAGCAAATATTGATTGAGATTATCCTTTCTCAACACGTGTTTTCCATTATATTGTGTGTTGGTTATTATTTCTTTCCTAGCTTCCTTGTGGCTTATTGCTTGATATTTCACAAGAAAGGTTATCATATAGAGTGGATTTGATACCTCTTTTGAGCTGATGTTTGTATTATTTTATCACTGCCTGTTAGGGCTTACTGGATTATCCTGCTTTGTTTCTATCTTTGTTTCAACTTCCAATCAATGTGTCCATATAAAAATTGTTTTCTTTCTATCATGTATTTTTGAATAGTTGAAGTGAAGTTCATTTTATTTTTAATACTAGATTTTTAGTATTTGCTCTTAGTATTGTTGTACTTATAGTTTTATTGATTTGTATATAACTGATTTTGTAGATAGGTATTAATTTCTATCGACATATGATTTTGTTCCCTTGATAAATATTGGGTGCTACATCTGATTTGTTATAGCATAGTATGTTGCCATAATGCCTGGATATGGTTTCTCATAAATATAGCTGTAAACATGACAAAACAACTCTAATTTTGACCTGTTTGGACAAGCTTCTCCAAAAATATTTCTAAGTGAAAAAGTAAGGAGAACAAAATGAAATTGACTTCTTCATATGCTAAAATTAGTTTACGCATAAGCTAATGTGTACAAGCTCTCTCATATAACTTCTTCAAATTTTTATTTTTAACTTGTTCATTAGTTAGCTTTAACTTGTGAACTAATGAATTTCATATTTCTCTTCATATTTTTATCTTCTAGAATTCCTTATGGAGAAACTCATCCTAATAGGTCTAGAAGCTCATTTTCATATTGATTTGTTATATATTTTATACAGCATTGTCAGTCTTTCTCATATTCCTACCCTTTTCCTCGATTTTTTTAATAAAAATGAGAGTGCTAGAGCATCACTATGTTGTTTGCCATTCCAACTATGTTGACATCACAAACAGCATTAATCATATGCAGTACCTTAGAATATCATAAAAGAAGATACAAAAATAATATGATTTCATAATTCATTTCTATGATTCCATCAAGATTGCTAAAGCATGATATTTTGTTTAATAATATGTTGTGTTTATATCGTAGTCTGGGAAGCAATGCTTGTGCAAATATGTGTTACCTTCTTGCTTAAATAAAGATAAGATTTTGCATGATCTGGACATGTCAGAAGAATCTTCTCTTCCCAATGATTTAAAGATTACTGGCCTTGCTGATGCTGTTGAGGGGCGAGTCAATGTGATAGTAAACAATAGGCAGGTATAATGAATTGTATTTAGGAATGATCTCTTTTCAATTTTTTCACCTTGATGTTGGCATCTGCAGGTTTGTTGGCAAATGGGAACCTAATAATCTAGTTCTTTACATCTATTGACATCTCTGCTTTGCATATGCAGATCTTTAGATGTGCATTACGAGAGAGTCCTTCATCAACATTAGCTAATGATTGCATCACAGCACTTGCTGAGGGGCTTCGTTCTAGTTTTTACAGACATCTTCTTGGTCTTCTCTGGAAAGATGGTGATCCAGCTCATCAGTCAGAAGCTAAATCTGTTGTTGATTCAGAATGGGATTCTTTCTGTCATGTAATTATGGAAATCTGCAGAAAAAATAAAAATATTTGTCAAAAGGGCTCTGATTCAGTGGAACATTCTGCATGGAACTTCCTTGTTAGCAGCAACTTTCATTATAATTTTTGCAAAGTAAACTCAATATTTGAAGTACCTTGTGCAGTCTCACTTAATCAGCGGGAATCAAATTTGCCCAGGTCATTTGTAGATAGCACACAAAGTTCTGAAGAGGCATTTTATACTGATTTGTTAAGGGAAAGTATGGAATCTCTTCATGGACTCTATGAAAGCCTGAAACTTGATAATCTTCGCAAAAGGTATGTCTCTGATCTTGTGAATCATATATTTTAGGTTGCCTTTTCATTTTAGTCTCGAGCTAGTGCATTTTCTGATCATCTCTTATTTCTATCCTATTGGATGTTTGTCTTGTAATACTGCCCTGTTTGTTTGGGAAACAGCTATTTGGTTGGCTGAGTTTAGTGAATCTAGCCAATAATCTATATTACTTTTTGCTTAAATTCAGTGTTTTAAATTTATTCTTGATTTGATTAATTTGAGGCTATGTTTTTGAGCTAGTAAATACCCCTATTCTTCTCTTTGATTTCACGATGATATACTGACTTTTTTTTTTTGCTTTTTGTGTTGGTTTATACACAGTACAAAGAATAGTTTGAATAATCCTTGCTCCTCTGTTACAATTTTTGTTCTATCAGTGATATATATATATATATATATATATATATATATATATATATATATATATATATATGTATGTATGTATGTATGTATGTATATGGATTTATGTGGTAAATTCTTCATTTATTTCTCTTGGGTAACTGTAGAGCAGCCAACTTCAACATTGCTATAGCCAGATGGCTGCTGCTCTGACACTATAGATGCAGTACAAGTTAAATTATTTATAATTATGCATCAATGCTAAAAAAAATAAAATTACATACAGTTATAGACATATTCATTATTTGTTCACAATTATTACTATTTGGAAGTCACAGTCTTAAGCTAAACACAAGTCCACAACAACAAACGTCAAGGCATCAATTAAGTTTAGTAATACTCTAGGTACTTGATGCCTTGACTGCAGACTATGTGAAGGTTGACCAATGAAGAAAGAAACAATCAGTACACAACACATACACGAGGGGTGACCAGTAGAACAAAATGAGAGAATACATACAACTCCCTTCCCCTCAAGAAAAGCAAGGTAGAGTAAAGGTGACCTTTTTGACTCATAAGACTTAAATTGAAAACTGAGGACATGCAAACAATGAACTGATCAGGGAGGTGGTGTGTCTAGGTTTGGCTGGACACAATTAGTGTGGTTTACTGACACATCAAGGCCTTAGATTTTCTGCCAACCACTATGGACAATTTGTGAAGGGAGGCCCACTGTGACAGTACCATAGGCTGTCCTGGTGTGTTTATATGGTGGAATTTTGGCTTTCCAGTGTATTCTGCCATCCACCACTGATAATACTGAAACACAATGCTATTGAGCAATGGATTTTGGTGATTTGTGTCGAAACAGTGGAGAGGCGAGAGGGTATTGTGGCAATAAAGTTTGAACCTACAGACTGTTCTGATGAAAAGACATGGGTGAATCTTGAAATTAACCTGACAAAATTATGAGAAGGCTCAAGAAGGTTAACCCTTTTTCAGCAAAGTGGGCGTGACAGCAGGGGATTGTCACAGGGGCATATCTATTAGTTCCTTTGCTGTCTCTATCTTTGTTCTCTTATCATTTCATGATCTGCCCATTGCTATTATAAGTTTGACATTGCTAGATGTAATGGTCATACATCAGTCAGCAGTTTTAGACCTGCAAAAACAATCAGTGCTGATTATATTGGGGAGACTTCCATCTGTCATTCTGCTTCATCATGTTATGCAAAATATTTAGATTTTAGCTTTGTGAGGATGCGACCACACTTACCTTACTAATGCTATATCATATGACCAAGAAAAACTTTTGCTTTGTGTTCTGAGTATTACAGTAAAAGGTTAATTTTTTATTTATTTTGGTTTTCATATTTCCACCATCTACTTTAAGAATTTTATTGTGTTCTTTAGGCTGTATTTTTCCCTGTACTTAATTTCCCACTTTTAGTTTTTCTTAAAATATACTTATTGGTTCTATTTGATAATTGTTGCCTATGATCTATAGGGACTTAGAGCTTCTTTCAGTTCTCTTGTGCAACATTGCCGAATTTCTGGTTGAGGAAAACTACCTGGATCATTACGTTCGTGATTTCCCTGGCCTCAGTAAAAAGTTTCTGAAGTCTGGAATGTTCATTTCACCTAAAATTTGTCCAAGTTTGTTCAGATGGTTTGAAAATTGCTTGCAATATGGATGTAATTATGCTAATATTAATGATGTTCCAGCTTTAGTATGTAAAGAAGGAAGTTCTGTGGTTAGCATAGCCCGGAAAGTTGTTTGCTTTTATAGTATATTATCTGGTGCCAAATTGCTGGGAAAGAAGCTGTCCACTGGTGTTTACTGTAACATTACTATTGGATCACATTCTTCAAAGGAGGAGCTTACTGTTTTAGCAATGGTTGGTGAAAGATTTGGGCTACAACAGCTGGACTCCCTACCTTCTGGTGTATCTCTTCCACTTCGACATGTAAGTTTGACTCCGTTAGTGTCAGTCTGTCAGTTTTGAGAAATTTGTAGATCAGTTAATTTAAATAATTTCACAAATTTGTTCATGGAATACGTTCAACACTTGATAGTATCAGGCATTGCCTACTGCTTTTCTTGTTTCTTTGAGTTTTTCTGTGCAATGTGGTATTTCCCACCTGTAATTGCTTTCTACTATAATTGTTCTGCTTTAAGCATTATCTCTTTCAAGTTTTAAGATATATTTCCAAAGCTTTTTATGTCTAATCACTGTTATGCCTTCTAGGCATTAGATAAATGTCGTGATTCACCTCCCAATGACTGGCCAGCTGCTGCTTATGTACTTCTTGGCCGGCAAGATTTAGCAATGTCAACTTTGGCACGTGAATGCAAATATAGGGGCATTGAAGCACCAACCAATGTGAATGTAATCTCTATGTCCACACCTTATATGCTAAATCTGCATCCAGTGACAATATCTTCTACTATTTCTGATGCAATTGGATTGGAAGGAACAAAGTTTGAGGATGCAGATTCAGTTGATGGGTCTATGACTGACGGTATGGAGCATATATTCAACTCTAGCACTCAGTTGCGTTATGGTCGGGATCTTAGATTGAATGAGGTTGGTTATGTCACTTCACAACTGATTTGATTATTTTTCATTGATATATATATATATATATGCTGTGACTCGTATTATTGATGATATAAAAGGTTATGGCTTTAACTAATCTATTTATTATCAGTAATTTTGGGCAAAGTGCTGCTGCTCTTTATTGTCATTGCTACTATCGAATCTAGAGGATTTTTTTTCCCATTCTTTTTTCACCTTTCTTCGACAATAAAACTGATAGAATAGAAAGAGTGCTGTATAGGGCTGGGCATGAATTGGAAAAATCCAATAAAATTAGATCAGATTAATTTGGATTTTTTGAATCTAGTTTAAATTTAGATTTAAAGTAGCTTAAATCCATATCTATTTAATATATTTTGTTGGATAAAATTGGCAATAAAACCTAAGCTATTATATCTGAAAAATTCAAATTCAGTTTTATTTGAATTAATTTAGCTGTTATATTTTTTACTAAATACTTAAGATATTTTTTAAGATTAAATTGTTGATTTTGGGAGATCAGGTAATCATATATAATAACTAATAACATGATGGTTTAACTGGAGGATACAAGTGTTCGATAATTCTAATAGAATTTTTTTTTTCCTTTTGTTTTTTTATGTATTACTTTTTCTCACTTGCTTAATTAATTTTACATATAAATCTTTTTCTCATTTTTTGATACTGTGACAATATGAGCACCTATGTATGCTCTATGTGTTTGTCTATTTTAACATAATGCTTTATTGCTTGCTGTAGGAGATCAAAGCATATCAATTAGAATCATTCAATTCTGATTTGTACTGCCCATAATAGGATTTAATGCTAATATGATCAGTTTTATTTCTTTATTTATGTACAACATTTATAGGGAGAATATTTCCCTGATTTTCAGGAATAGATTAGTGTACATGTTTATTCCTTTGTGTTCTATTTATATCTCTTTTGTATTTTTCTAAAATAAGAAATACACAACATATTTTTCACATGGTATCAGAACTTGATCTGAATCATCCTTAATCTAGTGCTGCCAACCATGGGAGAGAACAAGTCAAAAGGTTTGGCCACTAGTTTGGTCAAAGGGCCTGCTCTTCCTATCACTGGTCACAAATTGGATGGCTAGAATTACCCTCAATGGGTGTGATCAGTTAAGATTTTTTTTCAAGGAAAAGGGAAGGAAGGTTACATCATAGGAGACTCCAAGAGTCCAAAAAAAGGTTACCCTAACCTCAACAAATGACAACTAGAAAACAATTTAGTCATGTCATGCTTGCTCAACACCATGACTAATGAAATTGGGAAAAATTTCATGTACTATGATACTGCCAAGGAGATGTGAGATGCAGAGAAAGAAACTTACTCAAATGTGGACAATACATCTACTGTATTTGAGATCAAGAGCATATTTTATGACCTGCGACATGGTGATTTCTTAGTCACTGAGTATTTTAATACACTCAGTCGACATTGACAACAACTAGACATATATGAAGACAGTTAAGAGAGTAAAGAGAATGAAAAGAAGATTTCTAATTTTGTGGGATGCTTACTCCACTCTATGATCTCATATATATATAGGATTACAACATTTAAAACAACTACCAACTACTAACAACCACCAACTACTAACTACGAACTACTAACCACTAGCCACTAACTAATAATAATTTTAACACTCCCCCTCAAGCTGGAGCATACAAATTGTATGTACCAAGCTTGGAACAAATAAATTCAATTCGAGGTCCTCTTAAAGACTTTGTCAACACATCTGCAAGTTGATTATTGGACCCGACAAATTCAGTGCAAATTTCTTTAGACAACAATTTTCCACGAATAAAATGACAATCAAGTTCTATATGTTTGGTCCTTTCATGGAACACCGGATTAGAGGCAATGTGGAGAGCTGCTTGATTGTTACAATACATCTTCATCTGTTGGATCTCACAAAATTTCAGTTCTTGAAGGAATTGTTTCACCCACACTAGTTCACAAGTGAGAGATGCCATTGCTCTATATTCAGCTTCAGCGCTAGACCGGACCACTACATTTTGTTTCTTACTTTTCCAAGAAATAATATTGCCTCCAATGAGAACACAATATCCTGTAGTGGAGCGTACTGTCCATAGGGGATCCAGCTCAATCAGCATCACAATACCCGGATATTTGGGTACCCCCTTTATCTTCATACAACGAGACCTTGTCCTGGAGTTTTTTGAGATATTTTAGGATGTGAGCGACAGACATTCCAATGATCGATACGCGGATTTTGCATAAATTGACTCACGACTCCAACGGCAAAAGATAGGTCGAGTGCAGTAATGGTGACATAAATGAGTTTCCCAACAAGTCTTCTATATCTCTCGAGGATCGAGAGCGGTTCACCTTGATCCGCCATTAATTTCGATTTGGATTCATAGGATCATTTCTTGGTCTACAATCAATCATGCCTGTTTCTTTCAGGATATCTAAAGCATACTTTCTTTGGGAGACTACGATGCCTTCTTTTGATTGAGCCACTTCAATCCCTAGAAAGTATATGAGACAACCAAGATCCTTAGTTTGGAAGTGATTGCATAAATGTTTCTTTAGCAAAGAAATTTTATCAACATCATCCCCTGTAATGACTATATCATCTACATATACAATTAAATAAACACATTTTCCTGAAGCAATATAATAAAAAGTAGAATGATCTGCTTCACTTTGTTTTAATCAAAAACTTTGAACAATGTGACTAAACTTTCCAAACCAAGCACGTGGAGATTGTTTGAGACCATAGAGAGAACGATGTAACTTACAAACCAAACTAGACTCCCCCTGAGCAACAAAACCAGGAGGTTGCTCCATATAAATTTCATCCTCAAGATCACCATGCAAGAACGCATTCTTGATATCTAACTGATGAAGAGGCCAATGACGGATAACTGCCATAGCAAAGAAAAGTCGAACAGTAGTCATTTTGGCCATAGAAGAAAAAGTATCACTGTAGTCAAGGCCATAGATCTGAGTATAGCCTTTTGCTACTAATTTAGCTTTGAGTTGATCAACTTCACCTTTTGGTCCAACTTTAATGGCATAGACCCAACGACAACCAACAGTCTTCTTCCCATGTGGAAGAGGAATTAAGTTCCATGTACCATTGTGCTCAAGAGCCTGTATTTCATCAATCATGACTTGTCGCCATCCAGGATGATCAAGTGCCTCTTTCACATTTTTTGGAATAGTAATAGTGGATACAGAAGAAACAAAAGAAAAATAGGAAGGAGACAATCTATGGTAGCTAAGAAAATTGTAAATGGGATGTGGATTACGAGTAGAGCGAGTACCTTTGCGAATGACAATGGGCCAACTTGAGTCATCATTATCAGGAATCGTGGTATCAGGGGATGATTGAGAAGGATCTGCTGAGGAAGACTCAGCTTGGGACATGGGACTGATCATTTGGCTCCTGTGTTGATAGGTAATAAGAGGCAGTGATGAGGATTTCGGTGTATTTTGTGTGGAATTTTGGGTGTTAGGAGGAGGAGGTACAAATGGCTCCACTAAGGGTATAGGTAGGACATTTTGGACCGAACTAATATCCTGCATAGAAGAAGGGAAGAAGGGAGTTGACTCAAAAAAAGTGACATTAGCAGACATGTAGTACCTCTTGGTTTCAGGAGAATAACATCGATATCCTTTTTGAAGACGAGAATATCCCAAGAAGACACATTTGATGGCTTTAGCTGATAGTTTATCTAATCCTGGAGACATATCATGAACAAAACATACGCAACCAAATACACGAGGAGAAACATGAAAGAGTGGGTCCTTTGACAATAGAATAGAGTGTGGAACTTTATTGTTAAGAGAAGACGATGACATTCTGTTAATGAGAAAACATGCAGTAAGAATAGCATCTCCCCAATGATGAACGGGCATATTACCACCAAGTAATAAGGTACGAGCAGTTTCAACCAAATGTCTATTTTTTCGTTCTGCTATACCATTTTGTTGTGGTGTGTGAGGACAAGTAGACTGGTGTAAAATGCCTTGGGAGCTTAAGAGAGTAGAGAAATCAGTAGAAAAGTATTCTTTGGCATTATCACTTCGTAAAACTTTGATTACTTTTCCAAATTGATTTTTGATTTGGTTAAGGAAAGACTTAAAGATAGGTAATAATTTAGAACGGTCTTTCATTAGATAAATCCAAGTACACCTAGAAAACTCATCAATGAAGGTAACAAAATATTTATAGCCAAAGAATGAGACACAACTAGGACCCTAAATATCATAATGAACAAGAGAAAAGACAGAGTCACATCTAGATTCAGAATGTTTAGGAAAAGAGGACCTAGTATGTTTCCCTAGTTGACATGATTCACATTCAAAATCTTAAAGAGTCTGAAGTTCAGGAACCATTTTTTTTAATCTTGATAAGTGAGGGTGCCCTAACCGTTCGTGTAATAGTTTTGGAGACAAGGATGCAACACAAGATACAGATGATTTAGTCCCAAGGTAGTATAAGCCTCCATATTCATGTCCTTCGCCAATCTGTCGACCCGTACCACGTTCCTGTATAACAAAAGAGTTGGTATTAAAGGTTACTGAACAATTCAATAATTTGGTTAATTGACTTAGGGAAATGAGACTGAAGGGACATGAAGGAACAAAAAGAACAGATTTCAAGTTTAAAGACGGAGAAATGGAGACTTGACCAGTTCCTTTAGAGGCTACTTTAGATCCGTTGGCTAAGGTTATGAGATGAGGAGTTTTAGGAAATGAGAGAGAAGAGAACATAGAGGTATTACCAGACATGTGATCAGAAGCACCTGAGTCAATAATCCATGGATTTTGACTTTTCACAGATTGTGAAATGCAAGCTGTTGATGAATTTGGAGTTGTTGATGATTGTGCTCGATTACTGGATTTCAATCTCAAATATTCCTGATATTCTTCGTGAGAGAACTTGGGTTCAACCATTTCAGATTTGGAAAAATTGACAGTTTTATCAGGAAAACCGTGCAAAGAGTAGCAATTTTCCATTGTATGACCCATTC